AACAAAAACTTTTTCCAAAAAAACAGCCAATTTTATTTTAAAAAAATTCATTAAATTCAAATGAATTTATCCAAAAACAAGTTCTAATAGTGCATTAGCATGTTAACAATAAATTTTAGCAAATTCTTCAATGTGTATTCATTAAATATTTCATATAGCTTTACTGATAATAATTTTTATTTAACTTTCATATCATTTAAGCCCCCCCCTCAAAAATTGATCTCAGCCCAGGAACATCCAAACAGGCTGATATTTGGAGGATATGTTGGGCCTGGGATAGGACGCACGTGATAAAAGTTTCAGCCTTCTATCCTGATGTATAAGGTAGATACGAACCAAACAAGGGTCGAAAAATAGCTAATCGCATCTCCAAAAAATCTCTATGGGTATTCATGCAATATGGTTGATCGTTTTCTCAAATGAAAGAGCATGTCAGAATGCAGTGCCTATGAGGGCCCTTTTTTTTAAATTGATATCTTTATAAAGAGAAAAAGGTTTCACAAATTACACTACTCAAAATTCTCTGAAAAAAATCATGCTTATATTATAGAGTCGCTTTTCAATATAACAATAAGAAAGCTTTATTAAAAAAAGGGCCCTCATAGGCACTGCATTGTGACATGCTCTTTCAAACAAAAAAAAAATATTTGACTTTATATCGCATTAAAGTTGATTTTTGCTGGAGATGGGTCATTCCACCACCATTTTGAGAAAAACGTGAAACAATTTTTTTTATGTGAAATTTTCGAAAAACATTGTTTATCATGTGAATATCTCTAGTTAGTTAAAAAATATCATTTTCCTTCTTCCTCAGAAGTTTCTCTAGGAAAAGTTCTAATGAAGCTGTATAAAAACAACATCTATTAACTTGATAAAATGGTCTTTGAAGGTCTTCAAAATCTTATTTTTTTTGAAAAAATCAATTCTTTAAAAAATTTACGTATGGTGCCGAAAATACACTTTTTTGCGAAAAACCCAGGTTTTGGGGGAACGAAACCTGAAAATCATGTGTATTCTTAACTTTCAGGCATCATAGTATTCGGCTGTGCACTTATCTGAAGTTTCGTTTTTCTGACGAAATTTGACATTTTTTGAGGGGGGGGGGGCCCCTTAAGTTATTTAGTAAAAATAATAAAATATCTAAGTGTTGAATATTACACTTTAATTGTTCAATATTTGAAAATACTTGACAATTGTATTACTCTCATATAATATATCATTATGTTATTTGTAGATATCTAATTTTTTAATTATTCTATTTAAATATTTACATAATTCATCATCATTAAATAATATTGGTAATATAAATGAATCAATAGTTAATGATGAATGTTGTGGTGATTGTTTTAATATTTCTAATAATACAGATATTATATCAATTTTACCTTTAAATGAAATATTTAAATGTTTTAAATTAATTAAATTGACAATTATTTTTAAAAATTGAACATGTTCTACATAAAGATAAGAATCATCACTATCTCTTCGACTATCAATTAGATTTTCTAATACTAACGATTCAATATTGGAAAAAATAAAATTCCCATTTTTCGCTTATTAGTTTTTGATACAATATTAAATATATTTTATTTATTTATTAATTTTTTATAAAATCTATTTGTAGATGATGTTAATACATATGTATTTGATGAATAAGGTATTGTAAAAATATATGCTAAATCATTATTTAATATATATTCAGTATTCCAAAAATGTTGTTCTTGCCAAAAACTAGTTTGAAATTGTTCAAATTTATTAATAATAGTATTATCATCCTTACATGAACAGATAAATTTAAATTCAAAATTATTCAGATAAGGTAAAGATGTTATAATTAAATTTTGCCAATTCTATGCATTAATCATAGTTTTGTCTTTAGAACATAGAGTTAAACTTTTTGAATTAGGTGTTTTTTTTTACAAAGATTTTAAAATATTGAAACTCTTGTTGAAAATCATTAATAATTATTTTTTTTAAATTATTTTCATAGCGATGATTTGTAACTATATCATTATTGTTCATTGAAATTTACTGTTCAAAACGTGTCCATACACAACCAATTTTAAGATATTTTAATGTAGGTATAATAGAAAATAATTTATATAATTAATTTAAATTAAATTTTGATATGTTAAAATTTATGATTGAAAATGTCTTAAGAACAGGATTATAATGACGTAATAATTTGCATACAGATAATAATTGAAGTCTACCTGTTGGTAAAATAGTTGATAAATCATGATTGTAATTAATTCAATGAAAAGAGTATAATTTCGATATTAAGGGTAACATTAATTGTAATATTTTTAAATTTGTAGATTTAATTTCATTTAATGTTAATGATTGAAGATTAGAAAATTCATGAAGTGAGAATAATGATAGAAATGCATTAATTTGACCATATGTATTTTCATTTGATAATTTTAATGATACAATTTGATTTTTTATTTCTGAATTTAATAAGTATTTCTTACATAACTTATCAAATATTCTTTTTCGAATATTTTCAAAATTAAGATTTAATGAAATAGTACGAATAAGTGTATTAAAACGAGAATTTAATTAATCGAATGATGAAAATATATCGATGGCATTAAGATATCCAAAACATTCAATTAATATTTCATTTGGTAATAATCCAAATGTCGTAACAATTGTTTGAGTGCTCATAATTAAGAATACTGTATTTTTAGTTTTTATAGGTATAAATAAAAAATTACATATTACATATCCTTAACCTTTTTTTCTTTTTATTTATTTTTATCTTTCCTTTTACTTTGCCTTACTTTTAATGAGTCGACGATTTTTTGTTTACATCACAGAGTGTAAATATCGTTTACATGTCAGAGACAATGATATCAACAAAATAAAATGAATTATGACAGTCTAGAATATCTAGGATATATTTATTTGATCAAGGGGTTTTTAAAATTAAGAGAAACAAATTGCTAAAATATTGTTCACATGAATAGCAGAATGTGTAAATTCATCTTTTTCTTCGTTCTTCCACATATCATCAATGATGTTACTTGTCCTTTCGTTCTATACAATGCTGTTTTCATCATGTAATGCGCAAAATATCTGATATTAATTATTAGAAGCCAAAATAGTGAAAGCCATTATCGTTTATTCATAATTTAATCAATATTTAGCTCAATTACTTGATTATAGCGATAGTCTTATATAAATGGTTCTGATTTATCTCGTGTGTTTGTTAAATTTGAATTATTTGATTTTATATTATCAAGAATAAAGCCAACTAGATAATCAACTATTATCCTAATCGACTCTTCCGGACGAAAGCACCAGCAAGTCTCCTGAAAAATACGAAACTCCGGGAGAATCCCTGCCATGAGCCTCCGGATCAGTTACGTATCTCAGGAAGCCTCTAAATTCTATGAAGGATGTGAGTGTTCAAAAACAATTATATTCACACTCACACACCCAAAATACTTGAACATATGATTGAAAATGATTGATCATTGTGCTTGGCTCCAAAAAATTTCAGCAACCATTATTTAAAAGTAATTGATTAATTGTCTCTTTTCCTATTTGAAGAAACTTGTTTTTTTGTTATAAAACAATTCACATTGATTGAACTTCAAATGATCTTCATTAAAATCCTCATTTAAATTTTCAGTGAGATTTCATTTCAAAAAGATTTTTTCTTTAGTAAAACTATCTAATGTTGTCTATTTTTCTACTGATTAAAAAATCTCATTATGCAAAATATAGTTACCGATATCAATAATAGATGAACATTTATAAGTTTTCTTGAATTTTCATAGAAACTATTCTGTATGATTTATTTCGAATTGTTTTGTTTCACTTTGATAAATACTTAGCACAACTAAAAAAGCGTCTTAGTGCAGCTCCTTTGGAGCTGAAATGCTGTGTGTGTGTGTCGGTTAGTTTGATGAGCATCCAAATCCTCACTTACCCGCTAACAGCCACACCTGGAAAATCTCACCCACACCTACATCCTTGAAGATCTGCTAAGGATTTTCAGTGGTAAATTACTTATCAAAATAAAATAATCAGAATAAAATTTTCAAGAAATTTTAATAAAAATAATTTTCAGTTTGGTTAAGTATTGCATGTGTAAACTGTGTCGTTTTACTTCTTTTTCTTTAATTTTTTTAAAATGTCTGTCATGTAAGCGGTGTTTTCAGAAACATTGCTCATGACAACACTAAAATAAGTAATATGGAGAGTAAGTAAACAATGATTGCAAATACATATCATGAAAAAAAAATAGTTCAAATGGACCGCACGTATTGATATTGATTTGTGTATGTTGTAAAGCTGTTGGCATCATTGAACAATAGACAATGATAAATTTGCTCAAGCATCAGATAGAGAGATGAAAATTACATTAGTATGAAGTTACGATAATAAAATAATATAAAAATTGATAATTTTCAACGCAGCTATGAGTTACTAAATTGTCTAAAGACTATCGAACAATTGAAGTATTAATGTTGTTTCTTCGATAGAAGAAAAAGAACAACTGGAAAACGAACGTAGGTATTGACGTTCGTATGAGTGAGAGAAGAAAAGATATAGAAAACATTCATATTCTAAACAAGTTCACAAATGTCTATAAGAATCTAAAAATGAATTTGATAACGACGGAAATTTTTCATTTTAGCGAAAGATTCTAAGCTCCTACTAAGAGAAGATTGAATTCCATTGACAAACAGTATCGTAATAATAGTAAAACCTGCATTTGAAGACGACATCCTCTTATCTTTGTTTTCTTTTAATGTTTTCGATATTGAACTTTCATAATTAGTTAAATTTTTATATAAACGATTCCAATTAGATAATAGAATAAACAATTGATCGATCAAATGAATATATCTAACTTATAGTCAAACAATATTTATCGAAATACCTTGTCTGTCGTTAATTACTGTATAGATGTTATATGTTTCATTTTTTTACTACAACTAATCGCAAAATGCCGCTTTCCATTCTTTGAAAAAGCCTTCAACTCAACATTTCACAAACATTAATATTTGCCTAATTGTATTGCTAAATACATCATTAGCAAAAGCAACCATATGTACGAGTCGAAGAATGCTAAAAGTTGTTCTAACTAGAAAATCTTATCCATAAAAAACTCTTCTATTTCCAATCAAAACAAACTGTATCACTTAAATTCTATACCTTTTTTCTATTATAAATATCAAGAGTAAAGTACTTATTGTAGTACAATATAGATAGAGGATAAAATTTCGAACGATATACTATTAGTTAGATACACATCTATTCTTTTTCTGGTATTAAAATTAGTTTTTTTCTACTCTTGCTTTTTTTCATCGTAACAAAGATGTAGAAATACTCGATTTTAATTTCAATTAATTCTACGTAACAACTCTGTAAATCTATTATTTTCTTCAATAAATGATATAAATAGTACAATAAAGTCTATCTACTTATTTGTGAACTTTTCGTTCTCGATTTCGTTGAAGAAGAAAATAAAACAAGTTTCATTGCTTATTTTTATAAACAAAAAGATAATTAGTATGAGACTACAGTAAATTGGTATCGATTTTCGGCAATAAAATTTGATTGAAAATGAGAATGATGATGATTTTATTAAGGATCAATCCTGTTCGATCACAGATTTTAATTACTTCTATATTGATCTTGATTATAACAATTGACTATATATTAGCTTATCTATTTTTAATAATATTCGGTAAAACATGAAGGAAAAGTCATCTCATAAACAGTATTTTGTGAAAATAAAAAGAACAAAAATTCATATTGAAGATTGAAAATCGTTTGAATCATTTCGATTTATCTATCTTCCTTAAACAATTCGAATGAATTTCTAACGAAATGCGTATCCACTTTGTGTACAAAAATATCCTTTTTTTTATTAAGATTTTCTCAAGAAAAAGATATTTTTATCAAAAAAATTCTAAATTGTTACAGTCATTTAGTACTGAGAGATTCAACAAAGTTCAAAAATTTATTTCGAAAGTTTTCTTGTATATACGTATGTTGAAACAGTACTTAAGTCAATAACACTGAATATAAACAAGTAAGGCTGTAAAAACCACTGATAACAAACAAATAGATCATTCTTGATTTGGATTTATTAAAATTACTAAATTTGCTTCCGATTAGCCATAGAAGTTGATTCGAGTTTTTTCTTTCTAATGGAATGTTAGACAAGTTTTTTACTAATTTTATTCTTTTCTCACATGTTACTCTAGTTTTTTCTATCATAACAATTTGATCATAAAGAAAAATCTTTACACTTTGTTAACAAAAAAACCAAATTAAAAACTTTTTTCTTTTGTTTTTAATAAAATTATTCAATGAGTAATCTTAAAGGGACACTTCTTTATCATAAAGAGAATTTATATCAACATTAAATTTAAATTTAGCAAAACAACTATCACCATACAACAATGAAGTGACAATGTAGACGCGTCGAATTAAGGTTTTAGATAATTTCTTTCAATCGTGACATATTGTATAATAAAAATTGTTTACTAATTCTCTCACGTTATACTAATTTACTATTAATCAATTTTAGAACTTTCCAACGAAAGAAACTGTCACTATGTTTTCAGTTGAACTAAAACTTCAATTTCTATCTTGTGATAATGTTTTCTTACTTTTTGGATAATATTAAAAGCTATGAATTCTATATTCAACACAAGAATTTTCCAAAAACCTAAAAAAATTTTATTTTTATTATAAGTACAAAGTGTAAATTTTAAAACTGTTTTCAAAATTTTAAAATATCTTTTTTAAATAACATCTAATATCAATACAATAAAAAATAAAAAGTTTTAATTTTTAACATATTGTCGTAATTCTTAAATAGAAATAAGAAAGATGAAATATGATTTTCAGTTCTATAAGCAGTCGATTAAATTTATTTTACTAATCAATCACATCGAACACAACTGATGATTGAATGCAAGTATAGATGTGAATCTATACTTACAAATTGATTATTTAACATTTATATTTACTATTTTTATTTTCGAAAATGT